CAAGCAACCCTCTTGTACTGCATGAACAGAATTGGCATTTTTTATTCAGCTCGTTCTCAGTGTTTGTCCGTTTAGCATGTTACCAGAATTTCATTTCTTTTTGTTGTGATGGATATTCCACTGTATGACCATACCATGTTTTGTTTATCTAGTTATCCATCAGTCAATGGAATTTGGATTGTTTCCACCTTTTGGCTATTATGAACGGTGTGCTACTTGTTTTCTACATAGCCCCCTTAGTACTTACTAAGGCATAAATGTAGACTCCTATTTGGAATAAGCTCTACTTTTAATTCTTTCCACACACTTTTGTTTATAAATTTTTAGCAGTTGCAGCCTCAGGTCACATTGGTCTGAGGCTTACCGTGTTTGGATATGAAGGTTCTGTTTCCTTCATGATTTGCTGCTACTTTGTACTTTTATTTTCCCTGTGGCCTTGTGATAATATTGGGAAAAAAATGGTTCTTTGAAATTTGTGTAACATTTGACCTGTTTTGTTCTGTTTCCCTCTTTCTTCATGCTGTATTTTGACATTAGGTCACCCATTTTGCTTGTTTGTTCACCTGACAAGTTGAGCTCTGAAATTCTTACTTTTCTAGAAGTATTTACTTTTTCTCTTCAGGAATCAGTGATAAACTTTGAGTACATTTGTGCCTCTTGACTTTTAAATCATGCTTATGGTTTTTTGTTTTTTTTTTTTATTGTATGTGTGTTTGCATTGCTTTTTTATCGCTTTGTATGAGAACTTAAAAATGTTTTTAGTAGGTCTTTAAGAGTTTGCATAATACCCCCAGCACTTCCTAGATTTTAGTGCCACCTTTACCCACACAACGTTGTGTCGCTGTTTTTTTACCCATCAAGACCGATTTGTGTTGCCCATATGTTTTTGGAGGCGTGGCCTTCCTTTGGAGCGCGGTCTACTCATCAGGGGCTACCACCTTAAAAAGAAACTGACTTTCCCTCCTCCTGAAGCTGTCAGTTGCCATTGGCTCCTCAGCGAGGGCTGGGACTTCCTGCCTCCTCTCCATTGTGGATTTGGTGGCTTTGCTTGCAGAGGTCTCGTGGGTGCTGTCTCAGGCACTCTCAGTTCCTATGTGTAGCTTCCCTGCAGTGTCCAGAAGATACTGTTTCCTTTAGGTCATAGACTGCTGCTGGCTCTTACGTGCTTTCTTTGGAGGATGGGGTGCAGTACATGTGTTCCATTTAGGGCGGAGCCTTCTGGTCTCTTACTCTGCACCTCAGCCACTTGTGGGCCTCGGTTAATCCTATCTACTGCAAATAGAAGCTTCTCTGGTAGGTGTTGAGAGACAGTCAATCTGTGGGTATAGCCTGAACTTAATGCTCACAGATATATTCTTTTTCACTTAATTTTCTGGCTTATCAATTTTCTGATTTGTTTTACACATTATTGTCAACTAGTTAGTACATTGTTGTTTGTCTTCCCTGCTTTTTCATTCCCTATGTTATGGAGAGTTCAGTTCATTACCTCTTTTTTGGTTTTTGTTACTTGCTTTTTAAAGTTCATTCATTCATTTTTTATTCATTCATTCATTTATTGCTTGTACATGGATATGTCAGCAGCATGTGGCAGTCAGAGGACAACTTAGGGGAATTGATTGGTTCTTTCCACCATGTGTATTCCAGGGATCAAACCTGGGTTGTTAGCTTTGTTGTCAAGCACCTTTAACCATTGAGCCATCTCCCTGGCCCGCGTTTTCTCTGTGTTCATGTTTTCTAAGACTCTAGTCATACTTACCCGAGATGTCATAAACTAGTTCTATTTGTCTGTGGTGAAGTGAAGCAAGGTGACAAAACTCACCAATATGTGTGTGAGCTCATTTCAGAGAGCAGAGGGAGGTGGGGGGACTTCAGTCTGAGAATTTATTCCTAAAAGGAACTCTGTTTTGTTTTTTTTTAATAATTCTTTTTCTTAATGATTTTATTTTACGTGCACTGGAGTTTTGCCTATATGTGTCTGTGTAAGGGTGTCACACCCCTGGGACAGTAGTTACACACACTTGTGAGCTGTCATGTGGGTGCTGCGAATTGAACCCTGGCTCTCTGGCAGAGCAGCCAGTGCTCTAAATCTCTTGAGTCATTTTTCCCCTAAAAGGAACTTCTTCTTGTCTGCTTACAGGAATGGCATTTTAGAGTAATCTGTGCAGTAGGGGTGAGGACAGAGCACAAAGAGGTACCATGACTGGTCTTCCTTCCACTTCCCAAACTGGTTTTGCTGTAATATGGTCTGGATGTAAAATCTCCCTTACCACGCAGATGGCGCTGGGTAGCTAGCTGTACTTTGGTGTCTTGTATTGTGTGGGTTCAGAGTTCTCTGGAATGGGAAAGTTACAGCCGAAATGCCTTTCTTGATCTGAAGTGTGTGGTTCTCTCCATCTCTTAGTGCTATCTCCTTCCTCCTATAGGAGCCAGTCACTTTTGGTATCCCCAGGCTTTCTTTCTGTTTTTCATTAGACTGACTAACTTTTGTCTACTTTTTAGAGATAGGTTAAAGAGGTGGTTCTCTGCCTTCCTAATGCATCGATCCCTTAATAAAGTTCCTCATGTTGTAGTGACCCCTAATTATGAAGTTTTCATTGCTGCTTCATAACTGTAACTTTGCATCTGTTATGAATCATAATATTCATATCTGTGTTTCCTGATGGTCTTAGGCAACTCCTGTGAAGGGATCATTCAACACCCCCTCCAAAGGGGTCATGACAGCTTGAGAATCCCTGGGTTAGGGCAAGGAATCAAGAGCATGTACTTGTTTGATATCTTATGTAGGAATGGAAGATATGGTATTTTTTAAGGTTATCTGCATCATTGCCCCTCACAAACCTGAGTTCTTAAAAGAAAATAATTGTTTCACATATCTTACTTAATGGTATGAATTTGGCAACAATTAAGTTTTATTGCAAGAATGTAATTTTAAATGGACGTTTCATTAAAAGTAGGAATTTCTGGGCTGGAGAAATGGCTTAGAGATAAAAGTGCTTTCTATGCAAGTGTGCAGACCCACATGAAAGTTGAACATAGAACACAAATGTCTAATCCTAGCACTCCTACAGAGAGTTGAGAGGCAGAGACTGGGGAATTCCCAGAAGCTCACAGGGCAGCTGGTCTGGCCTGGATAGCAGAAAAACAACGAAGAAACTTTGTCTTGAGCAACGTAGAAAGCAAAGACACCCACAGGTTGGCCTCTGACATCTGTGCCAGTATCATGGTATGCAAATGCCCACATTCACACACAAATAAAATTTTAAAAGAGAAATTTGCTGCTGTACTAGTTACTTTCCTGTTTCTGAGATAAAACACTATGACCCATGCAAAAGGAAGGGCTTATTGGGCTTACAGTTCCAGAGGAGTGTATCACCATCATGGTTGGGAGAATGGCAGTGAACAGGTAGGCACGGAGCAGTAGCTGACAGAGTTTGCATCTTGATCCGCTAGCAGGAGGCAGAGTGAGTTAACTGGAGTTAGACTTGCCTTTTGAAACCTCAAAACCTACCTCCACTTAAACATCTCCCTCAACAAGGCCACGCCTCCTACTCTTTCCCAAGTAATTGTACCAACTGGGGATCAAGTTTTCAAACCTGTGAGTCGAAGGGGGCCATTCTCAGTCAGTCACCACAGCTACGAATAAAGCGCTCCTAATGTTATACAAACATGGCTGAGTTTATTAAAAACTTAGTGTATATGATTCACTTCAGGGTTATTTATATCTGTTTAAGAGGAGGTTGCAAACTGTAGAGTTAAATAGAGGAAACATCTTTATAATTTTAAAAACATTTAACTTCATTAAGCAGGTCAGTTACTGTTACCTCATGTGTGAGGTGAGCAACCTTGACTCTGGGATGGGAAGAATGTATCTGAGACCAGGGAGCTGATAAGCTGGCCTGGAAACAAGGTCTGTTGACTGATTCTTTAGAGCCTGGTGGCTTTCTTCTTTCTTCTTTAGTGCTTTGTTACTGGTGGGTATTTGATAGTGACAGTAGGCTGACCTAATCTCTCATCTTTTATGTGCGGTGAAGATAGAATTCAATGACTTTTACCTAGTGTTTAACAAGGCGTGTGTTAAGACCCTATGCGATCTCTCTTTCCTATCCCCCTGTTGCATATGTTCTTTCCTTTAGCATTTCTCCTGCCACTCTGGGCCTGTGCTCCTCCATCATACCAGCTATAATCCAGGCTCAGTGTCTGAAATTGCTGTCCATGCTAATTGGGGCTCTTTCCCTCCTTCAAATCTTGATGTGCATACAAGCTTCTTACTGAGTTTTTTCTCAGCTTTCTTGCTTAAAATGTAAGGTAGAGTTCCTATCCTGCTTCCTTACCCCCACCCCCATTAATAACATATTAGTTATTACATTGTCATGGTATGAAGCATTGTCCTATTATTCCTCATCATGTTAGTTCAGTGCTCCATACAGTATGTAGCTCATTAAGTATTTGTTAAGTGAAAGTACAAGAAGGAGATTCAGTTGGTTAAACAAAATGTTAATGGTGAGTACTGGTTTTTAATTCAGGAGTTGAACATTTAAGGTCCATTGAAACAGGAGTACACATTTGTGGAAAAAAAAATGGAATACTTCACTAGGGATTTTTATTTACTCTAGTTCATTTGTCAGTTACAATATCAATTTATGTAAAATCTAACTTTCTTGGAAAATAGTCTGTTTATTGACTGTATGTTTATTTAATACAATAATTTATTGTTGACATACAGAATACCACCTCAGATCTACAGTAGGTTTTTTTTTTTAAGACAATATTTTTCTCAGGATACCTTTCTCTGAACATTGCAGTTTTTTAAGTTGGCAGTCCTACCAACTTAAAAAAAAAAGACTAAATGAAATGTTTTTCATTTTTATATTTCGGGATGGTATTCTAACCCTTCTAATGATGTATTGTAATTCTTTATTCAGTGATTGTGTGAAATAATAAGTGAGAAAGTTTTGCTCAACTTTTATCTAAACATTTCTACTCTTTTTTTTTTTTTGTAGATTTGCTTTGAGGTCATGCTGATGAAGTATGGAGTCACCTTTGATAACTTGAAAGAAAAGCTGCTTCACTAAAGAAACATAAAACAACTGAGCAGAAGGGACCTCGGGATGCCAACGCCACACTTTTTATCTTCATCATCTACTTTTAGCCCTTCAGAACTAATGAATTACACATTAAGGAAGATGAGCTCTTCAGCATATTGTTTCTAGCAGTTAGAATTTTTATCAGTGTTGTACAACTCATAAAATTTAAGGGTTACCAAACCTGTAAGGCCTTGTTTAAAATAGCTTGCTTTTTAGCATTCAGAACTCCAGCGTTTACTTTGTTTTTACTTATGAAAGTCCTCAGAAATGTAGCGCATCAGGAAAGAGATGGACTTGGAAGCACACAGTTTTTACCGTAGATTGCGGTAGAACTCAGTGGATAACTTAGGACATCACTCATTTCTTCTCCAAAATACCACATAAGCATCTTACTTAACTTTCATGCAAAAGAAGTTGCTTGAAAATGGCGTGGGTAAAATTCTTACGGAAACCCGGTGGTAATCTTGGAAAGGCCTATCAGGCTGGAAGTTTGCTATCCCTAGCCCCAACTGTAGGCTTGTTAAATGAACCAGGACAGAACAGCTGCTTTCTAAATAGTGCTGTACAGGTGAGACCATTAATCACGTGTTTCAGGCTTTAAAGTACTTTAAGAGACTCTTATTTAGTGATTCTTTTAACTCCTCGTTGACTGGAATGACTTTTCTGTGTGTAGGGTTATATGTACCTCTTTATATATGCATGACCATATAAGTTTATGTGTGTGCAATTCATGGAAGTCAGATCAAATGTCTGAGGAGTTAAATGTCATGCCTCAGCTGCTTTTCACCTCACTCTTTTAAGGCATGCTCTCTCACTGAACCTGCAGCTCATCCACTCAGCGAGCTTGAGTTGACTGAGCTGCAGGAACTACCTGGCTCTCCTCCTCCTCCAGCACTGGACTTACACACATTTTACCATTGCTGGTTTCTACCTGGTCCCAGGATCTGAGCTCAGGCATGCATGACCGTACTTTATCAGCAGAGCCTTCTGCTCAGCCTTGGAATACCTTCATGGGAGAAGATACTCTTGCTGAACATTTTAGCTTTTTATAATAATTGGAAATGGTATTTCTCTACAGAGTGATACTTTGCTCTGATGTAAAGAACATTTTTATTCATAATACTCAATACATTGAGAATATTTTAAAATAAATATTTAGTTTTAGCTAACACTCTCCTGCATACTTAAAAAAGAAATAAGTCTAGTGTAGATCCCAGTAGATGGGCCAAGAACAAATGAGCTGCCTAGGTTGAAATAAGAATGCAGATTTATTTTACTTCATTAGTTCAACTCACTTCACCTCACAGTGACCCTTAAATTGTAATCCAGATTTGTAATTTGACTAACACTTGTTTTAGACTGACTGAAGATTATTTAATCTATTTCACACCTTTTTGAAATTATTTCAATAAATGTGTATGTAAATACACTTTTCTTTTTTTTTTTTTTAATTTTTTTATTTTTATTTTATTTTTCTTTTTAGTTACATTTTGTTAACTCTGTGTCCCAGCTGTATCCCGCTCCCTCATTCCCTCCCCAACCCCACACTCCCTCCCTGGTCTCCTCCCTGCCCCTTTCCAAGTCCCCTGATAGGGGAGGACCTCCTCCCCTTTCATCTGACCCTGTTTTATCAGGTATCTTCAGGGCTGGCTGCAAAGTCCTCCTCTGTGGCCTAACGGACTGCTCCTCCCCTGGGGTGGGGGTCAAACAGCCTGCCCTTGAGATCCTATTAGAAATAGTCCGTGTTCCCCTTACTTTGGAAAACTACTTGGTTACTGAGCTACCACAGGCCACATCCGAGCAGAAGTTCTAGGTTATATCCATAGATGGTCCTTGGTTGAGTGTCAGTCTCAGAAAAGACCCTGTGCCCAGATATATTTGGTCCTTGTGGAGCTCCTATCCTTTCCATATCATACTAACTTCCCTTCTTTCATATGATTCCCTGCACTCTGCCGAGGGTTTGGTTATGAGTCTTAGTGTCTGCTTTGAAACACTGCTAGGTAGAGTCTTTCAGATGCCTTTTGTGATAGACTCCTGTCATAAGTTCAATGCACATCCCATTTGTCTTTCTAAATGAGGATTAATCACCTTCGCCTGTGTCCACTTTCTTGATTATCTTCTTTAGGTGTGTAGATTTCATTATGTTTATCATGTCTTGTAGGTCTATATAAGCGAGTACATACCAAGTTTGTCTTTCTCCTTCTGGGATACTTCACTCAGAATGATCTTTTCTAGATCCCACCACTTGCCTGCAAATTTCATGATTTCTTCCTTTTTGATTGCTGAGTAGTATTCCATTGTGTAAAAATACCACAGTTTCTGTATCCATTCCTCCGTTGATGGACATCTGGGTTGTTTCCAAGTTCTGGCTATTACAAATAAAGCTGCTATGAACATGGTTGAACAAATGTCCTTGTTGTGTACTTGAGCAAATTTTGGGTATATACCTAGGAGTGGTATAGCTGGGTCTTGAGGTAGCACTACTCCTAGTTGTCTGAGAAAGCGCCAGATTGACTTCCAGAGTGGTTGAACCAGTTTACATTCCCACCAGCAATGGAGGAGGGTTCCCTTTTCTCCACAACCTCTCCAGCATGTGCTATCACTTGAGTTTTTCATCTTGGCCATTCTGATGGGTGTAAGGTGATATCTCAGGGTCGTTTTGATTTGCATTTCCCTAATGGCTAATGAGGTTGAGCATTTCTTTAAGTGTTTCTCTGCCATTCGACGTTCCTCTTTCGAGAATTCTCTGTTTAGCTCTGTTCCCCATTTTTTAAGTAGATTACTTGGTTTGTTGCTTTTCTGCTTCTTTAGTTCTTTATATATACTTGATATTAGCCCTCTGTCAGATAAAGGGTTGGTGAAGATTCTTTCCCAATCTGTAGGCTGTCTATTTGTTTTGATGACAGTGTCTTTTGCTTTACAGAAGCTTTTCAGTTTCATGAGGTCCCATTTATTGATTGTTGCTCTTAGAGCCTGTGCTGTTGGTGTTCTGTTCAGGAAGTTGTCTCCTGTGCCAATGAATTCTAGGCTGTTTCCCACTTTTTTTTCCAGCTGATTTAGAGTATCTGGTTTTATGTTGAGGTCCTTGATCCACTTGGACTTTAGTTTTGTGCAGGGTGATAGATATGGATCTATTTTCATTTTTCTGCATGTAGACATCCAGTTGGTCCAGCACCATTTGTTGAAGATGCTGTCTTTTTTCCATTGAATGGATTTGGCTTCTTTGTCAAATATTGAGAATTCATAGGTGTGTGGGTTTATTTCTGGGTCTTCTATGCGATTCCATTGATCCTCCTTTCTGTTTCTATGCCAATACCATGCAGTTTTTATTACTGTTGCCCTGTAGTACAGCTTGAGATCGGGAATGGAGATACCTCCAGATGATCTGTTGTTGTACAGGATCGTTTTGGAGATTCTGGGTTTTTTGTTTCTCCATATGAAGCTGAGAATCTTTTTTTCAAGGTCTGTAAAGAATTGAGTTGGTATTTTGATGGGAATTGCATTGAATCTGTAGATTGCTTTTGGCAGGATGGCCATTTTCACAATGTTAATCCTACCAATCCATGAGCACGGGAGATCTTTCCATCTTCTGAGATCTTCTTCAATTTCTTTCTTCAAAGACTTGAAGTTTTTCTCAAATAGGTCTTTCACTTGCTTGGTTAGAGTCACACCAAGGTACTTTATGTTGTTAGTGGCTATTGTGAAGGGTGTTGTTTCCCTAATTTCTTTCTCAGCCTTTTTGTCTTTGGTATACAAGAGGGCCTCTGATTTTTTTGAGTTGATTTTGTATCCTGCCACTTTGCTGAAGGTGTTTATCAGCTGAAGAAGTTCTCTGGTTGAATCTTTGGGGTCGCTCATGTATACTATCATATCATCTGCAAATAGTGACACTTTGACCTCTTCCTTTCCGATTTGTATCCCCTTGATCTCCTTTAGTTGTCTTATTGCTCTGGCTAGGACTTCAAGTACAATGTTAAAGAGATATGGAGAGAGTGGGCAGCCTTGTCTTGTCCCTGATTTCAGTGGGATTGATTTAAGTTTCTCTCCATTGAGTTTGATGTTGGCTATAGGCTTGCTGTATATTGCCTTTACTATCTTTAGGTATGTGCCTTGTATCCCTGATCTCTCCAAGACTTTAAACATAAATAGGTGTTAGACTTTGTCAAATGCTTTTTCAGCATCTAAGGAGATGATCATGTGGTTTTTCTCCTTCATTTTGTTTATGTGGTGGATTACATTGATGGATTTCCGTATGTTGAACCACCCTTGCATTCCTGGGATGAAGCCTACTTGGTCATGGTGGATGATATCTTTGATGTGTTCTTGGATTCGGTTTGCAAGTATTTTATTGAGTATTTTTGCATCAATGTTCATAAGAGAGATAGGTCTGAAGTTCTCTTTTTTTGTTGGATCTTTGTGTGGTTTAGGTATCAAAGTGACTGTGGCTTCATAGAATGAGTTTGGTAGTGTTCCTTCTGTTTCTATTTTATGGAATAGTTTGAGGAGAATTGGTGTTAGTACTTCTTTGAAGGTCTTGTAGAATTCTGCGCTGAAGCCATCTGGTCCAGGGCTTTTTTTGGAGGGGAGACTGTTAATGACTGCTTCTATTTCCTTGGGAGATATAGGACTATTCAGTCTTTCTACCTGATCTTGACTTAATTTTGGTAGATGGAATCTGTCAAGAAAGTTATCCATTTCATTTAGATTTTCAAATTTTGTGCCATATAGGCTTTTGTAGTATGACCAATGACAGCTGGATCAAGGAAGAAATAAAGAAAGAAATTAAAGACTTTCTAGAATTCAATGAAAATGAAGGCACAACATACCCAAATTTATGGGACACATTGAAAGCAGTGCTCAGAGGAAAATTTATAGCACTAAGTGCCTACAAGAAGAAATCTGTAACATCACATACAAACAACTTAATGGCCCAACTGAAAAACCTAGAAAAAAAAGAAGCAGATACACCCAAGAGGAGCAGACGGCTGGAAATAATCAAACTAAGGGCAGAAATCAATCAATTAGAAACAAATAAAATTATCCAAAGAATCAATGAAACAAAAAGCTGGTTCTTTGAGAAAATCAACAAGATAGACAAACCCTTAGCCAAACTAACTAAAAAGCAGAGAGAAACCATACAAATCAGCAAAATCAGAAAGGAAAATGGGGACATAACTACAGACACTGAGGAAATCCAAACGATTATTAGGTCATACTACAAAAGCCTATATGACACTTTTCTATTTAAATAATCTTCTATGGCCATGCTCTTTTAGCAGCTCCAGATGTTTTCTTCTGAACGCTAATGGTAGATAGGGCCGTATCACTTTTAATGAATGTACACATCTGTGCTGTGCCACATGCAGCCTCTGACTCACCTTCTCAGCTGCTTTCCACCTGGGACAGACATTAGGAAAACATAGACTCTAGTTCACTTTGGACTTTAAACAGTAGTGTTCCACCTAGCTCAGAGATTGTACTAGTGTTGTTAAGAGAAAAGACAGTACTTACTGAATGTCAGTAGATACACAGAAATCCCAGGGCCATGTAGTTAAAATTAAATGCTTTGATTGGATCAACTATCAACTCAGGTCTTTTTCTGCTTTCTGCTTTTACATTTTCCTTTCCTTTCATTCCCACAATTCATGTATGTCTGTGCTTTAGGGTATGTTACAGCAAATTCCAAATATGGAAATGTTCATAGTCAAGAAAGTGAAAAAAAAATCTCTTGGCAACATATTTTTTTAAATGGAAATTCCATGGAATCGTGCCATAAAGACTGTTTTTCTATATAATGTTTGTTTATGGTACTTCCTGCTACGTTAAATGTAACAGCTTTTTCTTCTGCTTGAATGGCCTTTACAAACTTTTTTACAGTGCTGACCTATTAGTAATGTATTATTCTAGCTTTTGTATGACTAAAAAAAAATGCATTTCACTCCTGTGCTTGAAAGATTAGCACATTAAAGCTGGGTGTGGTGGTGCATGCCTTTAGTCTCCGTTCTTGGGAGGTAGAGGCAAGAGGATCAGGACTTTAAGCCCAGCCTTAGGGACATCACAAATGGGGCAAGATGAGACCACCCAGTGACTCCTATAGTTTTCCTTCTGTACTCTCATCGCTTCTAATGAAAACTTGTTCTGATCTTTGCTTTTCTCTATGTCACCTGCCCTTTCCTTTGGCCAGTCTAACAGTTTTTTGTTATCCCTAGTTTAAAACATTGTGTTTGAGCAGTTTTCTTAGTGTCGTTCATGGTAGAGTTTGTGGAGCCTCTCGAAGCTGTCAATTTGATATTTTACTGTAATTTGGAACTCATCCATTATCCCTGGTTCAGGCAGCGGTCCTGTCTGTCCCTCTTTGGAGGACGCCGGTTACATTAATGCTGTTTTACGTGGCTTGTGCTCCTCACTTGCTGTCTTTTGCCTCTGTCATTCCCTGCGGTTTCTGTTTCTGTATCTTGAAGCTCTTTACTTTTCCAATGTCTGATTTGCTCTTTGTCATATTTTTACCTTAGACATTGTAATTTTTATTAGTGAATATTTGATATATGTCTTCATGTCTCAGCATCATGTGTTTGGTCTTAACCTCTATTCTGTGGATTGTTTTTCTGTGCTTACCTACAAATTTTGCCTTTATATAAAAGTTTGGAGTTCTGCTTTAGGGGTGTGTGTGTGTGTGTGTGTGTGTGAGAGAGAGAGAGAGAGAGAGAGAGAGAGACTTTTTCTGCCATTTTTTTCTTTTTTTGTCTTTGCTTTAATGCCCACTAATTTTTGTTGGATATCATGGAAGTATTTTATCTTGTGAAGGTATAGATAGTTCGGGATTCCTGAAGATACTCTTGAACTTTATTCTGGGGCAAGATTTTTAGTCTGATCATTTTGGTGTTCCAGCTTCTTGGGCAGGAATAGTTTTATTTACTCGTAAGGTTAATTTCTTTTCAGACACTTCTTTTTTTGAGCCAGTGCTCTGTGAACTTAAGTTTTTCCACTGTGACTGTTGAAGTCTGAGCATGATTTCTTCTAGGTCATTTGAGTGTTTTAGTCCCTACTCCACAGTGACATCCTGACTGTACTTGCTAGAGTGCCTGGAGGGAGCCTGTGCAGTCCCTGGGAGATTCCGCAGCGCTATGCCTGCCTGTGCTAGCAGCCTCCAGTGCTCAGAGGTTGCTACAGGCTAAGTGTGCAAAGCCAGTTCTCATTGACAAAACCACTACTCAAGTAGATGTTCTGTCAGAAAATGGCTTTTTAATAATCAGTTACATGATTATTTTTAAAGCTTGCTCAGACATAAATTGAGGAATACATCTTCTAAGGCCATATGAATTTCGGATGTAGCTATGAAAAGGTACGGGTCCAGTTTACACTGTTTCACAGATCTCTCCATTTCAGCATATTTTTAGTGTTTTAAAGTAAGCCATATGATCAAAATTTGTATTTCTTTGTTAAACTTTTATGATTATGAGGCTGGGCATTGGTAGCACACACCTTCAATCCCAGCACTTGGGAGGCCTAGGCAAACAGATCTCTGTGCATTTGAGGCCAGCTTGGTCTACAAAGCAAGTTCAGGACAGTCAAGGCTACGCAAAGAAACCTTGTTATAAATGAATGAATGAATGAGTAGTGATTATATGCTGGGATTTGGGGGGTTCTTAAGCTACATATATAAATGTTAGAAACTGCATAATTTCCTTTAGGATTCATGTTAAATAACTACAAGCAAGAAATTTAAAAGGAAAACATACCACTAAAAAACTAAGTAGTTCAACAATTAGCTGGGACTTATTTTGTAACAGACGATAGAATGTAATTTTATGAACTAGGATAAGGGTGGATTATAATTAGAATAGTTTTATGATAAGCATTTCTTCTAAGATTTTATATTATTGTGTTGAATAATGTACAGAAAAAAACAATTTTTGAAAATTTCATGTATGTCCACAATGTAATTTTGTCATCCCCATCCCCCCACTACCTCCCTCCAGTTTCTCTGGGACTCCTTAGCTTGTCTCCATTCCTGTCATGTCGTGGTGATAGTGGTGGGCGTTGTCATCCTCTTCCTTTCCAGCTTAGTCCAAATAGCACTGACATATGCACATGGATTGGGTCCCGTGGCACAGTAGAGGCCACATAGCCCCCAGCAGCCATCAGTCATCAGTAGCTTCTTTGCTGAGGGTTAGGGCTCCAATAGCTCCTTTCCCATTCATGCTAGAATTTTTACTGGCCTGATCTTGTACAGGTTCTTTGTAGATAACCACAGGTACTGTGATAGGACATTTGCAAAAACCGTGTCGCATCCAGAAGTCCATATTTCAGAGTTCTCCTCTTTATCTGGCAGCTTAGCACTGGCTATTGTTTATACCAGGTACTAACTGTTACTACAAAAAGAAACTACTCTGACAAGAGTTGAGAGCATCATAAATCTGTGGGTGTAGACTTAGATATTTAAAGAGTTTTCCCTAACCTTAGGGCCTAATCTCTCCACAGTCACGGCATTTTGACAAGTCTACAGCAGCAGACATGAACTGGCGCTGACCTTGCGTCCAGTCAACGCAGCTGGTCACCCCTGTAGATGTCACGTCACTATTGCACTCAGCCTGGCAGGCAGGTCAATGTTGTAACTCCAGGGGTCCAGTAAAACCGCTGGTGCTGTCTTTCTCCCCCTCGGCCTGCATAGCACCTTCCAGCACCGTGAAAGCCAGCCAGCAGGTACAGGGCTTCCTAGTCTGCCAGGTTGATTTCTGTGTCCTGCAGGAAATGAGACGTTTTCTTAGCAGTAGTGTCTTATTGTGCAGTTATGGTGGGCGACCAAAAGCAATGGTAATAGCCCATGTGTTTTGGGGTGCCTCTAGGGGCTCCCTGAACAATAGGTGGTAGGGACACATCCATCCGTGCCTGGGACTGAGGTTGCCATTGCACAAACTCTTCTGGGAACAACATTGGAGGCCCACCTATGGAGGGTACTTCTGTTCAGAGTCCTTTTTAAAAGTAAATAAATAGATAAATCAAGTTGAAAGACATTATTGACTTTATGAATATTTTCTAGAGGGTTTCCTGTTAACTGAATAATTAAATTTTCAGGTGACAGGCATACAGTTAAAACATGTTTGGCATGTTAGTGTGCTGGCGAATTCTTTCTAGAAGCAAAGTTATATTTAATAAATATTACATTATTATTATTACATACACCAATTCATTTAATCTTTACAACTCCTGGAGGGAGATGCTGCAGTAAACATTTTGTCTGTCAGTTCAAAAGCTGCTCAACTGAAGCTAGAACCGAGAGCTTGTGTTTTTAGGCACTTTGTATCATTTGTCTTCATTTCCTTAGTCCTTTGAAATGGATTTCAATCTTGTATCTTTATGAAATGCTAAAAGATAATATGTAAGAAAGTGATTATGTACTCCACGTACTTTGCAAAACACTCATTTTGTGTTTATTAACCATTTATTAACATTTGTTTTTAATTGAGAGATTTAGATGTTTTAAGTTGGTTCTTCTAAGTTAATGTTATTGGAAGAAATTACTAAAAGGTACGGGAATCTTGATAAACTTGCTTGTATGCGAATTATGTGTCAGGTTCTGCTACACACCCTTTACACTTTGCACAATACTTACTCTTCCCAAAAGCTGTGTAAGGCATGTAACATTATTATTCCACTGAGTGGAATGCAGCTTTTACAAAATGGGATTCAGGTACTGGAGTGATTGATTGCAACTATTACACTCTTTTGTTGTTGTCTCTTAGTAGCAAGTGTCTAAAGACTAACTGCAGAGACTATGTTCATGTCATTGCTTGGCTTCCACTCACCATGTTGTCCCCTATCACCACAGTAGTCTTTCACTTATATGAGTAGTCATACGCACATTGGTTACCCATTCTTCCTGCCAAGACACACTGACCACTTTTTAGTACATCCTTGCTTTAAAATCTAATTGTATTTCTTCTTAGATTTCTGGTGGTTCCAAGTATCATAACCTCTTCCTCTTTCAAGTTTCTGCCAAGGTTTCTACATAGTATCCCATATTTCCTGTCTGTGCAGATACTTAGCTGAAAACTTTGTTATGTCTTGGTGTGTGTGTGTTCTGTGTCTGTTGTAGTTTTTCATGTGAATCAATAGGAATTTCTTGTGTGGTTTGTGTTTTTTCTTGTTGCTAGTGATTACACAAGGCAAGCTATGTATAGGAGATTAAAGAAGTTACTGCTTTACTGCTTTTAAGATAGAAGAATATGCTTTTTTATTACCACAGTGACAACAATCTCATTCTATTTTTCATTCAAATGTTTTTTTTTTTTTATTCAAATGCTTTTTAGGTTTTATGGCAGTTAGATATATTCCGAAGAAGTCTGAGAGTTCTGACTGGACATGTTTGTCAGGGAGATGCCTGTATATTTTGCGCGTTGAAGGTAACTATTTCGTAATTACTATTGTTTCTCCAAAATTTTAATTTTGATGGTTAATTTAGATGAATGCTTAAGACATGACAAGTTTTTATCTTCTACTTTTTGTTAGGTGATTAAAAATTAATAATTTAAGTAATATAAAATGAGAATATTCTTCATTGTTTTGTAACTATTGTGCATTTATTTTAATGACTATGTTCTCAGCTACTACTGAGTTCTAGGTGCTGCTCCCATTACTGGGTTAATGCAGTGAGCATAATTTGTAACAATCCCAGTTCATCCCACCCTGGAATGTGGAAGCAGGTAAATTTTAAGTTCAAGGCTGCCCTGAGCTACATAGTGAGAGTCTGTTAATTTAAACAACAGCAGCAACAACAAGGAGCTCAAGGAGCATATATTCGTTTGTAGAGGAGGACACAGTGTGTAAGCTGAGACCCCCTGCCTCTGCCTTCTGCATAGCAGGATTGCATACAGGCTCTTTATGCCCACCTGGCTCTTTCTGGAGGTTCAGACTCCAGTCCTCAAGCCAGTGCTTCGCCTTCTTGAGCTGTCTCCCCAGCTCTTAAATAATTAACGTTATATGGAATTTCGGGACTAGGCTGTGATTTATTCATTTCTGGGATTTGGTATACTATGTAAGTTGTATTGAAATCATAAAGTGTTCATAAAGTTGTTGGCATTCGAACTACTGATATACTTTTGATTTCTAGACAATATTTGCACAGTTTCAACACAGTCGAGAAAAAGCGCTTCCCTCAGATAACATAAGGCATGCTCTTGCAGAAAGCTTCAAAGATGAGCAGAGATTTCAGCTTGGCCGCATGGATGATGCAGCTGAGTGCTTTGTAAGTATCTCTGACAAACCTCAAGAGCTTAGAAGAATAGTTTTTTCCCTTGCATGATGCAGATTTGAAGGCAAATAAAAAAATCATAAAGATGAAAAATGGCAGAACTGGTCAGTGCCTTTGCATCTCTTATTCATCTGTCAAGATTGAATTTAAATCATTCTCTGTTGTATGTCGGGTTTTGATTATTTATGCTCTGATGTTTACTGCATGTTAGTTTATAAAAAATACATATAACTCTTTTTCTATTACATTTATATTATATATGCCAACCACCCAACTTTGTGTACTGTTTTGTTTTTAATATTTAAAGACCAATTTATGGTGCCCAAATACTTTTGGGTATGAGGTTCCAGTGGAGAGTGGTTGAATTAACGGAAGCTACACTCAGAGGAAACCATCTCTACCTTTCCCTGCAGCTGACAGTTGCTGGAATTCTGTGCAAATCTCCCCTCTCACTGCTGAGATTCAGGCTGGCTTCAGTTTGCACAGGTTTTGTGTATACTATCCAAACATGTCTGAGTTCATATGTACAACTGCTCTGCTTTGTCCAAAAGACAATGTTTTCCTTGTAGTTGTCCACAGCTTGTGGCTCTTACATTCTTCATGCCCTGTCAATGATCCATGAGCCTTGGGAGTGGGTATATAATATATACATATAAATATATACATTTATATATACCTATATATTCATTCTCTTTAGGACTGGCCTCTCTGCAGTCTCATTCTCTGTACTTTGGCCAGTTGTGCGTTTCTGTGTTAATCACCGCCTGCTGCAAATAGGACCTTCTAAAATGAAGTTGAGAGAGCACTGATCTGTGTATAGAATGATAAGTTACTAGGAGTCTGTCTTGGTTAGTTACATGTGAATAGATACCATGACCAAGGCAACTCATAAAAGAAAATGCTTCTTAGGACTTAGAGTTCAGAAGGTGAGTCCATGACTTGTGATGGTCGGGAGCATGGCAGCAGGCAGGCAGGCAGGCATGGCAGCGGAGAAGTAGCCAAGAGAGTACATGTCGATCCACAGTTAGGCAGAGAGAGCTAACTCAGAGCCCACCCCCAGTGACACACCTCCTCCAGCAAGGTCTCGCCTCCTAGTTCTTCCCAAACAGCTCCACCAACAGGGTACCAAGTTTTGAAATTGTGACCTATGAGAGTCATTCTCATTCAAACCACAGGGTCATTTCTCTATCTGGTCAGGCATGGGGACATGGGCTCTCTGAGTGGGTAGGTAGGAGTAGGGCAAGTTGGGGCTCCCTGTCTGAGGGAAGTATGTAGCAAGTAAAATGATTTATTCTAAAAATAAAAAATAAAAATAAAAAGATTGCCACTTACTGATCTATGGCACAAATCCGAAAATTCACAGATTTGTTGCAAAGGACATTGCTTGAATTATGCTGTAAGTGAAGGTACTGAGTCACTTAAGTTACATAAACCAGCTGGTTTAAGTAGGAAGATAACGAGGTCATCTGGGAGGGAAACATAGCTAAGTTGGTTTGCCTAACAAGTCTGAGGATCTGAGTTCCATTCTCAAATCCCTGCAAAATTACTCAGCGCGCTCTCACACACTTGTAATCCCAGAGCTACGGAGGCAGGGGCAGGAGTAATCGTGGGGTTCACTGGCCACCACCTTAGCTTAATTGGTAAGCCCCAGGCCACTGTCTCAAAGGATGTTGTGGGTGTTCTAAGAATGACACACGAAGCTTTCTTCTGACCTCTACATGGACCTGCACACACAAATGCACACTCACTTAACACATACACTTTTTTTTTTCTTCCTTCCAAAGACACGCTTGTATTTTTCACCATATCCTAAGGACATCAAGATCCTCAAAAGGGAAAGCCCCCATCTCTAGTCACAAAGCATCTTCTTTCTAAGGGTTTTTGTACTTTTTAAAGTTAACCTGACTACTTAATATGAGAACACCAGGAGTGTAGGAAATGTTTCTAATGCCAAGTTCTATATATTAACCACTTTGATTGGTATTAAATTTTTTTCATTTTTTTTTTAAGCTACCGCTGCAGAAGGTAAATACTTGAACATTTACAGTGATTAAAGAGGAGAATTTAAATGCTAGCACTTATAACACCCTGTATTTACGCTTTGGGGACTGTTCAGTTAAACATAGTTATATATTAAGGCGTTCTCTGTAAGATCAGCAACTTATTTCATTTGTGTTTTTTTAATTTTTGAATTAGGAAAACATATTGGCAAGGATTCATTTTCACCTGGTGCCAAGCAAGGATGCAGACATGTGCACCTCTAAATCTTGTGTCACTCATCAGAAGTTTGCCATGACTCTGTATGAACAGGTGAAATGTCTTAGTTATTTGATTAGACGCTAGACTGCTGTCTCGTGATTGATAGATTAAGCATATGTTTTTACCTGTAGTGTGTGTGCCGCAGCTGTGGAGCATCTTCAGACCCTCTACCCTTCACCGAGTTCGTGCGGTACATTTCTACAACAGCCCTGTGGTAAGACTTCTCAAAGCATGCTTAACAGAGGCTAGGGACACGTCTAGGCACACTGAGCATTTATTCTGTAAAATTATAACATAGTATGGATTTTCCCTTCTGACACTACCAAATGTGCTTTCACAAGAGAGCCCAAGAGCTAGTCTAGCTTTCTCAGCTGAGGCTTAGAATTTAGCTTAATAGAGGTTACCCGAAGTGCTTGACTAAAGTTTCAGATTCTGTTTTGGAATATTGGCATGTATGTAATATATCTAGAGATAGAACCTGAGGCTAAATATGGAATTCATTTGTTTAATACATACCTTATATATATAATCTGATTTCATGTGGTATTTATAGAGAGCCTCCGTCTTAAATGCGGCCCATCACATAAACTTAGGGTCACAATATAACATTCATAAAATGATCTTAACCTTCAAATTTCAGATTTTAGAGCATTTCAGACTAAATGCATCATTTAATAAAATGTACAGAATGTATATCTTATATTTACAGCGGATCTTTGGAACTGCAAAAATAAACTTGAAATGAGACACTCACTGGGAAATGAACTGCACATGATGACTTCATCTTTACTAAGATGTTCCCTTTATAGTGGCCATGTTTTCACCACTTTCATTGTCTCCTTTCTGGTGATAAAAGCTAGGATAAGATGAAAAGAAAGAAAAATATGAATATAATCTTTTCATAGGCTATTTTATTTAAGACCTCAACAATCACTTCAAATTCCGCCATGCTTCCTGCCTGCCCGTGTACCAGCTCCGTCCCTCTCCATGTCTGTGAAGCAGCTAGATAAGATGCAAAACCTACCCTAGACCATATGTAACATTAGTCAATCAAAGTTACTCAAAGTCCTTTATTAACTTAATGAGCTTAATTTGGTAAATCTACTTCATAGGTGGATGGATTAAGATTGAAACCCAAGTCTGATTGCAAAATTAACTATTAACTCTGATACTGTCAGTTTTGTAAACCATCATCGCAGTTTGAATGTTTATCAGACTCTGCTTTCTAATGTACTTGTACGGTGTGTTGGAGGAGTGCTTTTGGCTACTGAATATTTGCGGATTATTTAAACCATGCAACTATGAAGCATAGTTATATTACCATCAAGTAAAACTAGAACACAGCTAGAATGGAAAGTAGTGATGGTGTATGACCTTTAACAGTTTCTTTTGGAAATGCTTAATAATTGTTCTAAGGCATCACATGCCTTGATATTTTAAAATGTGAGGGATAGTTTCCAGTAATGTAGGAAGATGTCTGGCTCAGCTCTAACGAAGTATTGGCATAGAGGTGGAAGGCACGCGTCTAGCACTGGGTTACTTTTCTGGTGGAATCGGCCATCTCCTAGCTCAGCTGCTTAACTTTGCCTCTGAGAACTTTAGGCCAAAGAACCTTCTGCATTGTGTACTTGTTAGAGTAGAATTTAAATTCAAACTCCTACTTATTAATTAGTAAAATAAATAAAATTTTGTGTTAGAACTACTTCCACATAGCACCTTTACCTTTATCCAGGAGTCCTAAACAAAAGTCGAGCTGGACAAGGTGACGCTTACCTGTTATCCAAGTGTTTGAGAGGCTTAGGGAGGAGAATTTCAATAAGTTTAGGATAGCCTGGGCTAGATAGCTGGATGTAAAAAGTTCATACTTTTTACATTTTAAAAAGTAAATAAATAGGTAATTTAAAAGGATACGCTCATATGATTCTATATTTGTCCTAATTTTTCACACATCTTCCAAAGTTTGTAATTTTTCACTGTATGGCCAAGTTTTCAGACAGAAAAGTACTGCATGCATGTCAGTATATATTAATACTCAAGTTTTCAAGTGTCATTTATAGATCTGTTGTAAGCTCACCGGCTAGGCTTGTTTAAGACTTCAGTTTTTATTTTTTTTAGCAATGAAGTTGAAAGAATGATGGAAAGGCATGAACGGTTTAAACCGGAGATGTTTGCGGAATTGCTGCAGGCAGCAAACACAGCAGATGACTATCGGAAGTGTCCTGTAAGTGTAGTGGAGAATACTAGTGTACTTCTATGTTTATTACCCCTAAAACACTAATTGTACATGTACAACATTTATCTCTCTTTAATGACATTGGAAATAACTGTACATCACATAAGCTATTTATCTTAGTGTTCTCAGTATGAAAATGCTTTTACCTTACGATCACATTTGTAGTCCCAGCTACTTGGAAGCTTGAGTTACAGGTCTCTGTGAGCCTGAGAGACACAGAACCACCTAAAGATGAAACAAAAGCTTCTTAGATTTGCTAAGGTTTTAATTTTTGAAATATTTTATGTGTATGTATTTGTAGGTATACCATGAGTGTACCTGGTATTCACTGAGATCAAAAGAGCCACCACGCCTGTGATCCCAGTACTTCGGGAGCAGAGGCAGGCAGCTCTCTCTGAGTTTGAGGTCAGCCTGGTCTACAAAGTGCGTCCAGGACAGCCAAGGCTGCACAGAGAAACCATGTCTCAAAAAAATAAAAAATAAAAAGAGGGCATTGGGGCCTAGGGGACTGGAGTACAGATGGTTGTGATCCACCATGTGGGTGTGAGGAATTGAACCTGGGTCCTCTGTAAGAGCAACAAGCACTCTTCACTACTGAGCTCACTCTCCAGCCCCCCCTTTCACCACACTCCTCTTTTTTGGGGACAGAGTCTTATTTCTGGTTGTCCTGGAACTCGCTAAGTAGACCAGGCTGGCTCAAAATTAGAGAGATATGCCTACTTCTCTTTGTTAAAAATTCAAAGTGCCAGGTGTTGATGGAATTCTCTCAAAGTTCTGAACTTTATCATATAACTGCAGAAGGATCATTTTGCGTTGCGTAAATGTGATGAATGATTTTTTTTCTTGCATAATATTGTAAGTGACTTCAGTGTTTTGGACAGAGTCTAATACCATTTTCCAGGCTGGCTCAGCCTTCTAAACATCCACATCTAGCTGTTAACAACTTTAAGGGTTTTGTTTTTCTGCTTTTTTTGTTTTCAGGATGAGTATTTGTTTTAATACATCTAAAAATACCAAATGAGTTAAAATTAAGTTCTTGCTTAATCAGTAAAGACAAATAGCTGGTTACAAGTCGGTGTCTAATAAACTACAAAACAATTTTCAGATACACTTTGATTTTCGTTGTATAATGTAAGCAGCTATATATAGTAATTGGTAACTTTAAAACTTGACTTTGTGTTTGTTCTTCTGTAGAGTAACTGTGGCCAGAAAATAAAAATCCGTCGTGTTTTGATGAATTGCCCAGAGATTGTTACAATTGGATTGGTCTGGGATTCCGAGCACTCTGACCTGACTGAAGATGTTGTTCGGACTCTAGCCACACATCTCTACCTTCCTGGGGTAGCACAACTATTTTCACTCTTTTCTCCACTGTTTTTAAGTTACTTTCAAATGTTTCATATATTATGATATATTTAGTTTTGTTCATCAGAACCTAAATCTTTTAAAGGAAATATTGATATCCAGATGTGTACTGATGAAGATAAGTTTGCTTACATCAGACCGAGCGAAACACCCTTTTCATAGACTAAAAACAACTTTGAATTACAAACTAAACCTTCTCGTGCCCATTTACCCTGCAGTGATGGTTGATGAAAGCCATGTGACATGAATGTGTCTAAGGTTTAAAATCAATCTATACCTTATCTCTCGGAGACATGCTTGCTTTTTAAAATCAATTGTTACTTTCTAAATTTACTTTGAGTTTTTATTGCTATAATTAAAATTTTAAATAATTATACTTTAGATGATATTTTAATGTTTCTTCAAATGTGTTATCTAATCAGGAATATATATAATTCATTTCACATTTAGGGTATAAGTAAAGTGTCAATTGTGTGTTGCTAGAGAAATTGTTACTGCTTTAATGCATGGTGAATTCAATTTTTTGGGACTTAAGGTCCTGTGGATTAATTTAAAATGGTCTGTTCACAATTCAGTCACAGTTGTGCCTTCACTAATAATGTTAGATTAAGGCCAATGTAGAGTGAACTATTTCCACAGTAATTCAGGAACAGGATTCACTCTCTCTCTTGAAAGCAGCAATCGTGACTATGCATTGATCTTTCTAAATAGCTTTTTTACAGGGTGACGGATGAAAGCGCCACCGATAGCGAGCTGCGCCTTGTCGGTGTGATCTGTTACACCAGCCGACACTATTGTGCCTTTGCGCTCCACACCAAGAGCTCCAAGTGGGTGTTCTTTGACGACGCACACGTCAAGGAGGTGAGGCCTTCACTAACTGCAATAACCACTGAGGCTTTGACACTGTAGAAATACATGATAACAGTATACAAGATAATGGCATAAGTATTAGAGTAATGAATGTAAGGACAAGCTGCCGGTGACAATTGGTTTTCACTTAGTTTGTTTGGAAGCTTAAGTTTTAACCCAGTCTATTTCTCGAATAATGAGTTCTAAGGTAGGGGCAGAATGCGGCACTGGTTCTCAAATTTTGTGTGATGGTAAGGAATTGCATGTATGTTGTTTCTTTTGATAAATTATTTATTTGCTTTTTTGAGACAGTGCCTCACACTATAGCCCAATCTAATTCAGAATTAATATGAGTACAAGCTAGCCTTCAACTCACAGCAGTCCTCCTGCCTCAGCTTATGTGTTGGAATTCCAGCTGTAGCACATCGTACCTGGCTTTTTAAAAATTATGTTTTATTTCTTTGTTCTGTGTGTGTGCTTGCACATGCATGTGTGTGTGCTGCAGTGTGCATGTGTGCCTGTGTGTGGCATGTGTGCGAGCTACAGTGTGCATGTATGTGCATTCTGCAGTGTGCATGTGTGTTCGCGTGAATGTGCATGTGCACAGGAGAGATCAGGGCGGCTTCCATGAACTGGTGCTCTCTGACCATGCAGGCTCCCTGGGGGAAACCTGGGTGTCAGCCTGTCACAGCTGCTTTTCCTCACTGCTCCATCTGCTGACTCCGTGCTCACTTTCCAATAAGTGTGTGGCTGGACTCTAGAATTCTTCCTTAATTAGGAGAAAAAGTCAGATACCTGAGTTTTTTAAACTTTCTATAAGAGATTTAGACCTGACAGTGGTAAACTGTTGATCTTGTGAACACTATTCTCAGAGTTCACTAGCTCTGACATTTCTGTTAGTCAGTAAACTTATTTTTAATAGCTCTTGGATTGTTATGAGCAAATGGTGTGGAACTTTTTGTACTTTTCATCTTAACTATATAACAAAGCACCATTTGTCAACACTGATTATTTTCATAGACATTTCTTACACAGCATTCACTGAACATTGTTTAGGCCATAAAAAAAGAACACTGATAAATTGGACTTCCTTAGCACTTAATAAAGCTTTTACCCTTTAGTAAGACATTCTTAGGAGAATAAAATGATAAATTGTAGACTAGGAGAAAATACTTGTCTGATGTGCATCCGTAATTTTTATGGCTTGACTTGTTTTTAGTAGAGGGGATTGAATCTCACAAGGCTTATGCATACTAGGTAAATGCTCTGTCACTGTACTTTAGCCCTAGCCCTATATTCACAATATTAAAAACTGAAATCTTACAACTCAACAATAACAAGACATCCAATTTTTCTTTTAAAAAAATGAGCAAAAGACTTTACAAAAAAAAAAGTGTATAAATGTTCCCTGTTATATTCTTTACATCATCAGCTATGGAGACATACAAATATAATTCATGGTAGAATCCCAATATTTACCGATTGACTAAACTCAAAAAGAAGTACTGAGACCATACCATGAATTAGCAAGGATTTAGAACAGGTAGATATCTCTCTCAACTTAGGGTAATGAAACTGAAGAATTGAGCAGTCAATTGAGAAAACATCCTGTTAGTGTTGTTTGTTAGTGTGTGTGTGTGTGTGTGTGTGTGTGTGTGTGTGTGTGTGTGTGTG